TGGTTTTTTTTTTTAAATTTTTGTTGGGTTTTCAAGCAACCTCATGTCCCCCTCCCAGGGAGCTTCTTTATTTACCTCTTAGAAACTGAACGGATGGGAGGAAGAGCACTGTATTTCAGCATGCTTTGTTTTATGATGAGATTTCATAGCAAGGCTTTAATGCCATTTGGGCAGGTAAGCTTCTGCACCTCTGTTGTGCTCAGCTATATTTTCTTCTCATCTCCTCTTTGTTTTCTCTCTTTTCCTCTCCCACTCCTCCTGCCTCCTTCCTGCTGGCCTCCTTTTGTCTTTCTTTCCCTTTCTCAGATTATCCTTCCAAGTTTTCGTAATAAATTTATATTTTGTAAAAGGATTTTGTTGTACCAGGTTTTGCATCTTCACTGAATCTGACTGGCTTTTATTTTCCTCTCCAAAATCAAGTTTTTGTTCTCAACATCTCTCCCCATCATGTCCAGTCACTGTTTTGTTTTGGCGCCATCAATATCAAATGTACAAACGGTTCTTGCTAACCAACACCAGGTATATCTGATGTTCAGATGAGTTCCAATAAAAACAATTTTTTTTTCAAAAAGTGTCCTTTCTTGAGTGCTGGAGGGCTTCTCATCAACTCCAGACAGCTCTGTGTAGCCCTCTAGACTGGCCAAAGCTCTGTTATCTCATTTGCTTCGTGGGAGACTTTTAGATCTGGGCTAAAGGAGAGGGTTTTGGAGAAGGTTGGTCTGTGAGGTCTGAAATGGGAAATGGTGTTCAAGTATTTGTTTTTCCAAGGAACGTGGTCCAGGGAGGACATGGGGTTTGGGTTGTAATATCAGCCTATTTCCTCATCTACACGGTGAGGATGGCGCTTCCTTGATAGGCAATTGTGGTGTGAGGGTTATATGAAATCATGGAAATGCAAGTGCCTGGAGAGTCCTGACATTCATTGTGGTTTAGTTTCCATTTGGAATCTTCAAAAGCAGTGATTTTCATACTAGCCCTCAGACCCTGAGGTCTGAGCTCTTCTGAGGGGCTCTGGGGCCACTGGGAGGGAGAGGTGAGCTCTAGCCACCAGCTCCACTTCAGTCTGAGCAACTCTTGCTATTGTCTGTTTTAGTGTCGTGTCTCTGTGTACACTTTTACTTGTGGGAAGAGTTTTGCTTTAATGAAGAACTTTAAAAAATGTTCCAAAGGGATCCAGAGCGAGGGCAGAGGGGAGGGGTTTTCCAAGCCCAGGGCAGGCCCGAGGAGCTCAGCCGGGCAGCAGCTCATTCCTCTGCTCCCTTTGCAGGTCTGACGACTTCCTTCAGCCCTGTGCTGTCCACTGTGTAGCCACTAGCCACACATGGCTGTTGAGCCCTTGAAATGTGGCTAGTTTGAACTGACGCACTGCAAATGTAAACACAAAGCAGACTTTGAAGACTTAGTATGAAAAGAATGTAAAATAGCTCAACTTTTATATATATATGTTGAAATATTTTGAGCATTATTGGGTTAAATAAAATATATTATTCACCTATTTTTTAATGTGGCTACTAGAAAATATTAAATTACCTACGTGGCTTGCATTCGTGGCTCACATTTGTTTTTTTGGACAGTGCTGCTCTAGACCTTCAGGACTGACTGCTGCTCCTCCCGGGCCTCAAATAATCTTGAGTCTAGGTGGCTGAGAGGGTCGGGGAGCCCATGGGCCTGGCTTCCTCATCTGGGGGAGGAAGGGACCAGCCTTTATGGTTCCAGGGCTTTGTTGTGTGTTAATGTGGTGTTGGGAGCAGAGGCTGAGGCACTTGGCTGTGGAGGCCTGCTGTGTGCTGGAGTTATGTAATCTGTGCTGCCCAGAAGGGCCACTAGATGTTGCTCTGTGATCCCTGAAAGAACAAAGCATGACTTCCTCAGGAGCCAGGGCTCGGCCCTGCTTTATTTGGAACACTGTCTGGAAGCTACTGGCTGGGGCCTTGGCCTCCCTTCCTTGGGGTGGAATGGGAAGGCAGGCATGCAGAGGACGGGGACTCTCCGATGATACATGGGCATCCCGGCCCAGCGGCACAGATAACAAGCAGGCTGGCTCTTCCGAAGCTCAAGATAAGATAAATAGGCTGATTGATGGGGGTGGGATTTAGAGGGCCTCCCTGCAATTCTCTGATGAAGACTGGGAAGAAAACAGCTCTGCATCATTCAGCTGGGTCTGCCTTCTGGGTCCTTGATTCTGCCATTTCTGGCAGATTATTTATTGCCCCTTCTTTGCTTTGCAGTTGGAGCAGTGATGAGAGCTTGAGGGTGGTAGTGGTGGGTTGAAACAGGCACAGCATGGGTAGATAGGGGTTCAGGACAAGCCCTTCCCTCAGTCACAACAGCAGTGGCCTGGCAGCACTGTCCTATTCACGCTCTGCTGCAAACATGACTCTGCTTTTGACAAGTGTGAGGAGGTTAGGGTAGTTTTGCCAAGAGCTCTTTTTGAAGGTGCAAGGGGAAGGCTGGCTGGGCGAAGGCAGGAGAGGACACCTGAGTGCTGCCAGGCTGGAAAAGGCCCAGGCAAACATGCTTCTTTGGCCTGGGAAATGGGCTGGGGTGAAGTAGAGCTTGGTGCTATCCACCATGGACTGGAATTAGCTAGAATTGAAATTCATAGGCACAGGTAACAGGGTGGGTCCAGATAGTTGTAAGGGTGGATTACAGGCTTAGAAATCTAGGCATATTTTGGGAAATGGAAAGTATTTAACCTTTGCTCAACACTAGAATCTGAAGGGGACCTTGAGAAAATGCAAGGTGGACATGGGCCACCTCAAGAGCTGGGTCTTTCCCCTAGGGGCTGGAGGAAAAACGGCTGGGGTTCAGCTCTGCCTTAGAGAGGAAGAGAGTCATTGGTCCAGGGGACGTGGAGGAGATTACGTCTCAGAGCTTCTTACTATAAAGAAGTGGGGTTGAGGACAGCTCTGTTTGAACAGCAGGTAGGGGTTGTCCACTGAGGAACATTCCGAGAGGGGAGTCTGCCTTCATCATCTAAATTAAGATGACAGCTGCTGTGGATGTTTCTGAAGGGCTGTGGAAGCAGCAGCCCTCGTGCAGAGCAATGCGTGTTCTACTGTATGGTCACCAAGGTCCCTAAAGCTTTCAACTGCCGCTCTTGATGGAGAAATCTCTGGGTAGTACATAAGCAAATTCTAGTACTTTCTGACGATAGTAGCATTGTTCTGAATGATGCCAGATTTCTCTTTCTGTTTGTTTAGGGCAGGAGGCAGAGCTGGCACAGATTGACAGCCTAGTGTGATGCTGTGGTCTGGAGTCCGGATTGGCACTCCACTCTTCTCTGGATTCCCACTTCCTCGTCACTAGGTCCAGAGGTGATAATTTGGATTAAGATTGGGTTTGAGTCTCCTGTTTCCCAGCTTTGTGGTCAAATCTGAATCAGTCTCCAGAACCAAACTAAAAGAATAACAAATGAAAAATGGCCTTTGTGAAGGATCTAGATTCTTGTCTGAGAACAGTTACTAGAACCAGAATTTTACTAACAACACGTCTTCAAATTATCCGTGTGGCATGAAAAACATTTAAATTAGCGATCAGAGGCTGGTTGGACAAGCAGTTGCTTCAGTTTAACTATAACAGATAAGCGGGCGAGTGGAAATTTTCGAGGTCACGTTGTTGATGGGCTCAGTATTGGCTCATCCCTGGGGTAGCCACCGAGCCAGGGTCCTCAGGACCTTGTCCCAGGTGTGGTGTGGGAAAGCCAGTCGCTGTTTGTGCGACGGCCCAGAATTGGCTATGCCTCTCTGGCCTGGATTTCTGACACCGAGCCGGGCCATGGGCATTTCCCTGGGATGGGGGAATGGAGGTCCCAGAGGGGAAGGCACTAAAACCGATGGGACAGTCGGCTCGGGATGCGCGTGGCACTCAGGCCGCCTCAGCAAAGGCTTCGCCTCTCCCCGCCTTCCTCCCCGAGCTCCCTAGCTTCTTTCCCGGAGGACAAGGATGTTAAATGGAAGGAGGCAGCTCGGGGCCTGGCCTCCGTGGATGGCTTCTCGCGGAGCTCGGGCGAGCCGCGCATCGCCAGGGCTGGGACGCGACCGAGAGCGCCCCCGCGGCCGGCCGCCGTGGGCGCCGCGGCGGGAACAAAGGCAGCACGTGTCTGGGCGGGGCGGCGGGCGGGGTCGGCCCTCGGCCCCGCCCCGCCCCGGCGCTCCCTACTCGCCCGAACTCGGCGGCGCCGGGCGCCCGGGGCTCTCACGCGGCCGGGCTGCTGCTGGCGCGGCGGCGCAGAGCGGGCGGCGAGCAGTGCGTGGGGGCGGCCCCGGGCGGCGGGGCGGGGCCGGCGCCGCGAGTACCCGCCGCCGCCGCGAGTCCCGCTCCTGGATGGGGCGCGGCGAGTAGAGGCGCCTCGGGCTCGCGGCCGCGTCCCTGCCCGCACCGCGCGACGCTCGTGCTGAGGACGGCAGCGGCCCCGGCTCCCCGGCGGGACCAGGCCCGCCCGCGCCGGCGCGGGACCGCGCGCGCGCCCCGGAGAGGGAGGCCGCTGAGGTGCGCGCCGGGGCGGGAGCGGGAGCGGGAGCGCGGCGGCGGCGAAGGCGGCCGGGCGGGGGGCGGGGCCGCGGCGCCTGCAGAACCTTGGACAGAAGCTCCGGAGCCGCCGCCGCCGCCGCCGCCGCGCGCGAGCCCCGCCGAGCCCCGCCGAGCGCCGCCGAGCCGCGGCGCGCATTGCGGAGGGCGCGGAGCGCAGCAGCCGCCGCCTGCCCGGTAAGCCGGCGCCCCAAAGCTGCCGCCGCGCGGGGAGCCGGGGCCGGGGCCGCGCGGGGCTGAGGCGGGGGCCCTCCCGCGGCCATCCGGACCGCAGCGGCGGCGGCGGGCGGGGGTGTTGCAGTGCGGGCGGCCGGGCTGCGGCGCGGGGGCGCGGGCGGGGCCGCAGAGCCCGGGGAAGGCCCGGGCCGGGGCCGGGTCCAAGGCGGCGAGGGCCGCCGAGGCCCGGGCGGAGGAGCGCGGCGCGAGCCCCGCTTGGTGCTGAGAACCATCTTGTTTTCCACACAGATCCGAAGGGGCAGCACGCGCCCCCGGGAGCGCCCCCGCCTCCTCCCCGGGGCCGCCGCGGGCTCGCTGAGCCGCGTCCTCCCTCCGGCCGCCGGGCTGGGCGCGCAGGGGCGCGGGCCCCCGCCCGGCGCGCAGCGGCACCATGGGCACGGTGCTGTCCCTGTCCCCCAGCTACCGGAAGGCCACGCTCTTTGAGGATGGCGCGGCCACGGTGGGCCACTACACGGCCGTGCAGAACAGCAAGAACGCCAAGGACAAGAACCTGAAGCGACACTCCCTCATCTCCGTGCTGCCTTGGAAGAGGATCGTGGCCGTGTCGGCCAAGAAGAAGAACTCCAAGAAGGTGCAGCCCAACAGCAGCTACCAGAGCAACATCACGCACCTCAACAATGAGAACCTGAAGAAGTCGCTGTCGTGCGCCAACCTGTCCACGTTCGCCCAGCCCCCACCGGCCCAGCCGCCCGCACCCCCTGCCAGCCAGCTCTCGGGCTCCCAGACCGGGGTCTCTTCTTCCGTCAAGAAGGCCCCGCACCCTGCTGTCACCTCCGCAGGGACGCCCAAACGGGTCATCGTCCAGGCGTCCACCAGCGAGCTGCTGCGCTGTCTGGGCGAGTTTCTCTGCCGCCGGTGCTACCGCCTGAAGCACCTCTCCCCCACGGACCCTGTGCTCTGGCTGCGCAGCGTGGACCGCTCGCTGCTTCTGCAGGGCTGGCAGGACCAGGGCTTCATCACGCCGGCCAACGTGGTCTTCCTCTACATGCTCTGCAGGGATGTCATCTCCTCTGAGGTGGGCTCCGACCACGAGCTCCAGGCTGTCCTGCTGACCTGCCTGTACCTCTCCTACTCCTACATGGGCAACGAGATCTCCTACCCGCTCAAGCCCTTCCTGGTGGAGAGCTGCAAGGAGGCCTTTTGGGACCGCTGCCTCTCCGTCATCAACCTCATGAGCTCCAAGATGCTGCAGATCAATGCCGACCCACACTACTTCACACAGGTGTTCTCCGACCTGAAGAACGAGAGTGGCCAGGAGGACAAGAAGCGGCTCCTTCTAGGACTCGATCGGTGAGCCCTATAGCCCGCATCATGGCTCAAGGATTTAATCCATTTTTAAAAATTTATTATTAAACAAATCAGATTTCGTGTACAGTATGTGTCTAGCAAAGCCACCAAGGGCCTCGCCCTTCCCACCTTCTCTCCTTGGGGTTTTCTTCAGCCCTGCCAAGAACTCTGGGCGCTTTTGAACTCCCGAACCTTGTGCAAAACCAAGAAGATGTATTCAGAGCCACCCAGGCTCCTGACCTCTCACTCTGGGGAGTTCAAAGGACTGACCTGCTTCTGCTACCTGTGCCCTTGCTGGACCAGGGCAGGTGAGGCTGTCGGCTGCTTCCTGCGTGGGAGCTGGAGAGGGGTCTCCGGCCAGTTAGCCCAGGGAGGAATTGGCATTTCTGGTTGGAGGCCCTTTTCTGGTTCCTATTTTGGGTCGTCCGTTCTCCCAGAGGCCCCTGGAGCCAGCCACCCTGACTGAGCCGCGTGGGCTTGTGAGGCGGGATGCCCACCGCCCTGGGACAACCTCTTCAATGGAGGAGAAGCCGGCCTGGTGCAAAGATTGTGTCCTGCCGTTTGACCACGCGCGACCCTGGTTTGCTCTTTTTTCTTTTTTAGGGAGAAGGGCTTTCCTTTAGTGGAGACATGGAACTTGCCCCCCGGCCCGGCCCGGCCCTCTTGTCCCCTGCTCCTAGCCCTGTTGGTAGTGTTGGTTAATGAGCTGGTTTGACTCATTAAGTTCTTTCATTTGGGGTCCCAGCTAAAGGGGTGGGGAGAAGCTGGGGACAACTCCTTTCCTGGGTGAATTGTCATTTGACTAATGCAGCTTACTCACCCTGTGGCAAAGGCCAGGACAGCTGCGGGTGCCCATTCTCAACAGCCTGCCTTCTGGGCAGGTGGGGGTGCCATGCCTGAGACCCAGCCGGTGCCCACCAAAGGGCTAAGGCCTCTTGCTGGTGCACATGACATGTCCTGCAGAGCTAGGGGGTGATGTCAGGGATCAGGGTGATGTGGTAATGATGTTCCCCTGCCCCCAGCCCTGTTCATTCAAAGCTGTTTCCAAACAGTTCAGTTTCTTCTGAAGATGAAGCCTTGCCCTGCAAGGCCCAGTGAGACAGCTGCATCTTGGAGACAATTACAAGCTGGGAGTACCAAACTCCTCATGGCTCTGGAAGCCTGCTGATTCCACAACTGAGCATTTGCAGCTGCTGGTTTTGGTTTCCACTTTTCCCTAGTGGCTGTAAAAACACATGATGTGTACTTAATCAATTTTCTTTCTAATTCTCCCAGATTGGTGGCTTGGGACTTGGGAGAGGATCAAGAGAAGGGAGCAAGTCTTCCTCCATGGCCCATCACTCCGGCTTTGGGGAACAAAGACCAATGTGAAGATGCTACAGAGAATTCTCTCTTCTAGTCCCAATCCCCCTGGGAGTGCTGGAATTGGGGGGGCAGGGGGGACAGAGGGTAGTTTTACATAGGGTTAGGGTCCAGGTGGCTGCCGATTTCAGCACAAGCACTACTGAAATTCACATAAAAAAGAGAAAGCTGTGAAATTGAGGTCCCGGTTTATGAGGCCTGGAGCAGAGCCTGCCGGCCTGTGGTATTCCCAGATATGAGGAAGAGGGCCTGCCTGTGCCGGGGAGCACTCGCCCCAGCTGTGCCTCGAGGCCCATGCTGAGCCATTCCCGGGACTGCCGGATAATCTGATGCGGAGCTGGAAGGAACCTGCGGCTGCTGGCACAGACTTCCCCGCAGCGCTCTTCTCTGCGGGAGCTGTCACACAGCCTGTCTGTTCAGATCCTGCTGCCACGTGTGACCTGAGGTAGGAGGCCCGTGGGGGCGGCGGGCCCTGGCGGCATGGAAGAGGGAGGTTCGGGTGCTGAGTCTCAGGAGGAGGGGCGCGTGTCTTAGTCACTCGCTCGCCTGCCTGAACTTGGCCTGAAGCTGTGCAGCTGAGTCTCATCCACAGGATTCCAGTTCTGTGTGTTTCCTTCTCTTTCTCCATATTTATTTTTTTATTTCTTGGAGGAGGTGCAAATTTCAGGAATGGTTGGGGACTAAGAAAATAACTCTCTAGTTCCATCAATGTGAAGCCTGTCGTGTGCTCCTCCCTCCCCTTGCACTGGTCATCAGTATTGTGTAAAGGAACTCAGATACTTGAGTGTGCAAGCAATGAACCCATTTGACATGCTGCTATGAAGACTACTTTTAGAGCAACAATAAAAAAATGAAAAAAAACTAACCTACAAAAAAAAAACCCCTTTATTCTTTAATTGTTGCTTTTACAGTGATATTGTGCATGCAAACCAGGAGCATTTTGTGTCTTAAGAAAAATAATCTTAGAACAGATGGCTGTGAAAATTACACCCGTGCACAGAACAAGTCACAGGAATAATAGTTCAGGATTTGGTTTTTCTCTCTTTCTTGTAAACCTGAAGGGTTGATATATTCTTTCCATGCAGTTATTAGAATTTAGTTTTGTTCCAACAGTTGTTAAACTTGCAATGAAAAGAAAATGTGCCATTTTTTTCACTCGGAATTATTCATAGCTGTATATTTGAAACTGCTAATTACACACGTGCGATGTATGTTGGTTTTTTAGTGCAATTTCTTCTGTAGCTATTCTTTGACCAAACTGTGGGTATTGTTAATATTAATTTATATTTGTCTCATTTTGTATGTATGTAGTGTGTTTGTAAGTATGTGTGGTTTATAATCTGACAAGGTCATGAAGCTCAGTTTGGCTGTAATTTAATTCCCCTTCCCTTATTTTTATTTATTTTTGTACTGTGCTGATTAAATAAAATGCACTGATCATCCATTACATAGACCTCTTTTGTGGGCACGTCATTCATGAGCAGGCTGGGGGCCCCTTTTGTAAATGATTCCTGCACTCGGAACATAATTGGATTTGTGTAATGGGGGAGGGGAGAGGAGCAGGGAGGAGGGCAGGGTTAGGGGAGAGGGCTGAACGAGCGCGTGTGTGAATGCTAAGGTGATTAGGAGGGAAGCGCAGGTTAAGTCCACTCTGGTTTAGCTGCTGGGCGGGGGCAGGGGCTGCTCCCCAAAGGCTCCCCTAGCTTGGCAGAGCTGGGTGACTGAGACCGCCTGCCAGGCGGCACCAGGCCTTAGACTGTTTGTGGAGCTTGGCTCCAAGGCTGCTGCCCCCATGCGTCCTGGGCCTGGCTCTGCTCAGTGCTTGCTGCCCAGAGGCTCCTAGGCCAGCAGGAGTGGACTGGTGTCCACGTGGCCTAACCCTGCCAGTTTGAGCAGTTTTCCAAGAGAGAAATCCAGCCCTGGGGCTTCCAGAGCAGCAGCTACCCCAGCCCATAATTGTGGCCAGGGTGGGGCCCCCTACCGGCTGTGTTGCCAGTGGTCTGTGCCCACTCACGCTAGCAGCCTAAGCCTCAGGGACTAGGGCAGTGTGGACTCCATCCTCCCCCGGCTTGTGCCCCACATTCTGGAGCTGCCCCCTGGACACTGGGAAGGCATTTCTGCTCAGGATGCACTGTGGGAGCCGCCAGCCTTGGGATCAGGGCCGCTCGCTCTCCTCAGGGCATCTCCCTTGGTCTGAGTCACAGAAGCTCTTTTCTGCCAATGACCAGTGACCCGGCAGCATCCTGTGGCCGCAAGGCCCTTGGGTGCTGGGAGTGCCTGATCATCTCACAAGGCCTGGCCTTGCCTTGCCTGCCTGCAGCCCCCCATCCCACCGTGAGGTCGATTGCTCGCTAGCTCATTCTCCTGCCACTCCCACTGTCCCCCCCAGCCAACATGGGGAGAGGCTGACTGGTCCCCCCTTCATGCAGACCCTGCCCCAGCTGCAGCCGTAGGAATGTGAGCCTTTGACATCAATGTGCTTTGATTTCAGTAAACATGAAGGCACTGGGCTTCGAGTCCATCGCACAGGCCTCAACGTGGGGGGAGAAAACATTGGAATTTCACTCCACTGCCTCCGCCCACCCCCTAGCTCTCTTCTCGCTCCCTAGTTAATATTTCAGTTCAAAAACCTCAGAGAAATTATCTTCCCTTTTACCTTATTTGTGACTAATGCTTTCTTCCATCCTCTGGGATAACGCTTGATTTTACACAAGCTAAAATTTCACAATTATGGGTATAGTTTTCAATTACAGGTAAGCAGAACACCTTTAAAAATAAGATTTAATGCTTTATTGCTCTTGATGGTAAATCAAAATATGCTTTAGAAATAAAGTTAATTTAATGGAAAATAGGAATATACGCACCAAACCATAAAACTGCATTTAATTAAATCAAGAGAAACACTTCATTGCATCTGATCACTGTGTCCTCCTGCTTTCTTTCCCCTTGGCACCCCGGAAGCATTACCGTGATTACACCCTAAATTCCTGATCCTCCTTCAGTTCCACACACTGTGACTTCTTTCAGGACATCACGAATAAGTGCTGTGGACAGCCAGCGTCCCCTGGCCCTCAGCCGGGAGGCCTGGCCCTGGGCTGAGGGGCCGCAGGCAACACGAGGAGGGAGGGCAGACTCCCGCTCCCAGCCCCTGCCAGCCTCGGAAAGGCACTCATTTGGCATGTTCCATTTTGGTGTGTTTAAAACGTACATTTGCATGTATCTAGTGTAAGGCAACAAGTTTGGGGAAATAATAAGTGGAAGGGAGAGGCGATGTTCCAGTTAAGATGGTTCAGCCAGTGTCAAGGTGATGGGCAAATCTCTGAGCACTGCTAACTGGGCTGGTGGCACCTCTGAGCTGCGCAGGCAGCTGACCAGGCTTGGAGAATGCGAATGGGTTTCCAAGGACAGGGTGCCAGTAGGATTCCTGGTTGCAGGCTGCACACAGTGCAAATGTTTGCGAGCCCTAGGAAGCAGGGGAGGGGGGTGCAGGTGGGACCAGGCTGCCGGGACCACCCGGGGGAGAGCCGGGGGACCATGTCAGACACCAGGCAAGGCACAGGAGGCTGCACTTGGGCACATGGTGTGTTTTGCGGGGTCAGGGTGGCAGGACAGGAGCCTGGGGGGAGGAGGCGGGCGGGCGGAGGGGCAGTGTCTGGGGCAGAAAGTGAGGACGAGGTCAGCTCCTCCTGAGGCGCGGGCTCACCCTGGGCCCCTCCCCACACGGGGTGCCCAGAGTCTCTCCTCCCTTTAAGGCTCCTGGGCTGGGAGGCCCGGGCTCCCGGAGTTTGTGGCGCCCTCCTGAGCAGAGGCCGGGGAGGGTGGGCTCAGGAAGGCATCTGAAGCACGTGGGCTTTCTGCTGGGCGGAGACGGGCAAGATGGTGGCTTCTCCGGGCAGGAGGTCTGGGTGCCCGGTGGCTGGGGCCCCAGCTGTGGGGGGGCTGTGCAGGGCAGGGGTGGGCATCCTGGCCTGGCCTGCAGTGCCAGGACCCCACGCTCGGTTGTCGCTCGCCCCCCTTCCCAGAGTTGCTGTGTGCTCCCACCCTCCCGCCCCAGTCCTGGTTCTCCAGATGAGCAGGAGACAGAGGTGTGAGAAGGGGAGACGTCTGGCCCCCTGAGGGCTCCCCTCGGCCATGTGACTCCATTTCCTTATTAGTGTTCCTGACACGAGTGTGGGCACAGCAGCCACGATATAGGATTAGCAACCCTGCAAATGACAAAGTCATGGGTGGCGGGGGACGTCAGATGAGCCCTGGAGTGTCCCGCCCGCTCTCTCCTGGAGGGCAGACAGGAGGCCCGGGGCAGGCTCCGGGCGGGACGGACGGCCAGCTGGGCGGGGCCACTCTGCCGGCCACTGGTGCCTGGGCTGAGGGGCTGGCCCCACAGGGGAACCTGCTTGCTTGGTGGCTTTGGCCAGCTGCTGGGACCAAGGAGCACTACAGGCACCCTGGGGGAGGGGGTGGCAGGCTGGGCTCTCAGAGACAGAAGAGCTACATCCCCAGCTCATCTCCACCACATGTGCCACAACCCCCCGGGGGAGCCCGTCTTTGGTTGGGGGAAACTGTCCTGGGCTTCCCCCGCCCCCTCGCAGGGTCAGCGGCTGGTCACCGGGTCAAGGCACTTGACTTGCCCTGGCCAGTGGAGGGAGGCCCTCACTGACTGAGGCACCATCCAGTTGCCTCTGAGGTGAGATGTGGTCTGGATGTCAGCCCAGGGTCTGGGGCAGGGCACTGGGGTCTTTGGTTTGTTGAATGGGGACCATGGAAAGTCGGGACAGAGGAAGATGTAGATCAAAGGCAGAAAGCGAGGAAGGAAACTTCAGGGGAGGGGCCTTAGAGAAGGCAGGAGAGGCTCCTCCCAAGCTCGGGCCTTGCGCGCTCGTTTCTAGCGGGCAGTAGCAGGGCTTCGGCAAGGAGACAGGCACCTGGGATGCTGGGTGGCAGGCGGCCGCCCCAGGCCCACGGCGCTCCAGGCCCCGCAGCCCCCCGCTCCCTGGTGAGGCCTCTGGGCGCGCTCAGTTCCCGGGCACGCTGAGGGTGAAGCCCGAGCGGCTCTTGGTGAAGTCGGGCTCTGGCTGGTTGAGCCGCGTCTCCACGGAGACGGTGCACTTCTTCCCGTGCAGGCTGCACTGCACGGGGTTGGTGACGTTGACTTGAAGGTGGCGCTTCTCACTGGAAGAACCGAAAAGAAAAAGACCAGATAGGCAGTTAGCAGGCAGCCAGAGTAGGGTGCGTTTCCCTGGCAACCCCCAGGGCCCACCGTTTGCCAAGCTCCTGCCTCACAGGTGCCCAGGGGACATGGGCACTGGAGGCTCAGAGGGGACCTGAGGAGCCCCAAGAGAGGGCGAGGACAGGAAGGACTGGCACTGGGCTGCAGCCTCGAGCCAAAGCCATCGGAACAGAGGGGCTGAAGTTCTGGCCCTGGGCCCGCTGCTGGCTCCAGAGAACCCGGCGTGTTGAGCTGGGCCAGAGGAGGGAGATGCCACAAGTGTCTGGCCTGAGGCCGGGGACAGAGTCACTTGGGCCTTAGATATCCGCTGGGAGCCCTGTGCAGTCAGAGCGCATGGCCCATCCGGAGTCACGTGTCTCCCGCTGGCCCATGGGGCTCGGCCAGGGCTCCACGTTCCAGGTGGTGTCGGCCCCAAGGAGCCTGGCGTGGCGGGGGTGGAGAGGCTGTGCACTTGCTGAGTAGGAGCAGATCCTGTCCTCCAGGTCCTCATGCAGCACCGAATACACTTCAGATGCTTCTTATTTTAAGAGCTGAGAAACCTGTCGAAGGGCGGGCACCTCACGGCTGCTCACACAGGCTGGCAGGGTCCCACGCTGCCCCTGGGCCTGGGTCTCGTCAGCTCTCTCCCCGCGCTGGGAGGGGAGAGGGGAGAGGAGAAGGGCCGGCCAGCCTGGGGCCTCCAGTCAGCATGGGCTGGCTCTGCTCTGTGGCCCCGGGGACACCTTCTCTCTCAGGGCGGCGTCTGGGGTGTTGCTGGGCCCCCTGGACTGATGCGGCTTTTGGTGTTGAGCAGCGAGTGCCATGTGTCCACAGCACAGGGGGAGGCCAGACTGAGGCCGGCACCCCTGTGCTTCTGCCTGGCCAGCCAGGCTCCGTGGGCCAGGGGAGTGTGAGGGCTTCCCAGGCACCGGCTTGCCCAAGAGGCACCATCGCTCAGACACCTTTCTCTCCAGTATGGCACTGAGGCAGCCCACCCTGGCCGCCAGACAGCACCCAAAAGCGGGTGCTGCAGGAGGGGCCAACAGCAGCCACCCTCACAGCCTCAGCGTGAACACATCGGTCAGGGCCTCAGTGTGAACACACCAGTCAGGGCCTAAGGGTACCGTGAACACATCACTCAGGGCCTCAGTGTGAACACATCAGTCATGACCTCAGAGTGAACACATCAGTCAGGGCCTCAGTGTGAACACACCAGTCAGGGCCTAAGGGTACTGTGAACA